CTGCCCGCCGTGTTGCTCTGCCTCTTTGGCAGCTGTGTTACCAAGGATTTGGGATTGGGAAAACAAGTTAAATGGAAGTTTGTCACCAGGTGGAAAATGTGAGGGAAGCAATGTAGGAACCCCTCCTGGGGCTGCTTGAAGGATCAGGGTTGGGATTTCTCACCTGAAATCATCACCTGAGCTATCCCGAGTTTCATGTTTACTAGCGTCCAGATTTCCATCTGATCACAGAAAACCACGGAGCAGGTCATGATGTCGTGATGTTATTTTTATTTTTAGGAAATCTCCTGACTTAACTTGGACAAAGGCAGGAAGAAAAACCCGTGCTTTTTGTGTAGCTGCGTCAACGTTGCCTTTCTGCGTACAACATTGACGGTACACATCCCTGCTGTAACCAACAAACAGGAATATGTGAAACATCTTCTCTAGAAAGAAAGATGCCCTCATTTTGGATGATTGCCCTCACAGTCTAAGAGATTGACTTTCATGAGAAAAGATTGTACCATCGTTTGTGTCCATAAGAGACAAAAAGGACTCCCAGAACAAACATTTGGAAACAGAAGCGTATACAGCTTGACAGCCCTTGGGCTTTTATTGATAACCATCCCCATGCAAACTGTATTTTTAATTTCATAACTTCATCAGATACAGTGAGCTAATAGTGAGACAATTTGATCTTGTGATGGCACTCTTTTCTCAAACGAGTCAGGGTTTTCAGGCTTTGCTGTGGAAATGTCACATGTTCTGGCCTGTCTCAAGATGCCGACAACTGTTTGCTGCCTCTTTCAGCATCCCTAATAGGGAAAAAATTAACTCTTTCAGTTCTATGACATCTTCCAGCACTGCTTTACCAGTGGACCCCAAAGAAGCTGATGCCTTACCTGCCAAGAAAAGGTCTGAAATTGATTGCAAAGAAGGAAAAGGATGGGATGAGGAGACTAAAGAAATACCTGAATGGAAATTCCACTTTTCTTCTTCTGTTGGAGCTGCAAAGAAATGGTCAATGAGTCCTTTTGTGTCAAGGCATCGGTTTAGCAATGTACAACCTCCAGAAAAACCTTTGCAGGCTGAAGAATGGAACAAACTAAGGGAAGATTTCCAATCACCTGAAATATTTGAAGAGGTGATGCTGAACAGTATGATCAGGTGCAACAGCCCCATTGATGTGGCCAAGTCCTTGCTGACGCACCTGGCAAAGCGCAACGGTGACGTTGCCTACAACATGCTGGTCAAGTACCTGACCCTCTGCGTGCAGCAGGGACAGGTGTCAGAAATCCGGGACGTGTACGACATCATGAAGGCCAGGTTCAAGATGTTAGAAAGCGGGGCTTACAGCCTTCTAATCAGGGGCTTGAGCAATTCAGATCAGTGGAGAATGGCCTTGACTGTTTTGGAAGAAGTAAAAAAGATTATGATTCCCTCACGGACGTGCTATGAAGCTTGTATCAAAGCTGCCAGCCGTCACCAAGAGATGAAACTGGCCTTTGAACTGTACAGTGAGATGTTGGCTAAAGATGTGGTCCCAACCTTGCACGTCCTGCAGTCGTTTTTTGACTTCAGCAGGGGTATGAAAGGTGCTGAGCTACAAAAAGAGCTCTTTGGTGTCCTCTTATATTTGAGAGAGAACCAAATATACCCTCACAGAACATTTATGCAGAGTATAAAGCTGTGGTTTGAAAGGTAAATAAAGTTTCAACTGCAAGATGCAGTTCATGAGGAGGAGGGATCCAGATTATCCCACAGATCAGCTCTGAGACCCCTCAACATCTAATTTTGATTTTTGCTTCTTCACAAGAGACATGTTGCCATGAAAAGATGCATTTTATTTTTGCTCACAAATTACTGTGAAAGTTTAAAATTTTTACTGATTTCACCTTTTATTTTACCTGTTAAATATTATTCCTTGGTACAAAAATTAGGAAATCATGTTGAGTCATGGCAATTCAAAATAGCTGTCTTCATCTCTTTCTGGGGTGCTAGGTAAGGAAGATTGACTGGTGTTTGAGGGCTTTTCCTGTAATTTATTGGAGTGTAGACATAGTAAGCTAATTGAAAGTTAGATAGTTTCTTTCTTTAAAGGAAAGAGGCAGCAAATTCCACTAGGTAAAATGAAGATTAAATGCATTGACTTTGTTCATCTCCTAGTATTCTGTACAATCTCCATAGGAGGCTCTGTGTTTTAGCACAGTATTTAGCTGGTCACACGGTTTGTTGTCATGAGTAGTGATTGTCAGACTGCAGATTTCAGCTAGTTACAGTGCACGTGCACAATGGGGTTCACCTGAGCCCATCCATATTTCATGAGGTTGGGTGTGAGCCCATCTGTGATTTTTTGGCTTTGATTCATGTGAGCTTCAGAGCCATTTTACAAGTTAGGATGGAAAATGTGGCAGTGGGAATGTGCTACCATTATTGGAATGGCTTATGAACGTGTAGGGCAGTCACTTAGAAGTTGTCAGTGCACACTGATTGTTTGTGTGGCTCTTAAAATTTGAGGACAGCATAAACTGCTGAGGGTGACAGTGTTAGTTTTTTGCATGTTGTTAAATGCTGGTTCTTTATAAAATATTTCCAGGTGTTACTAAATTAATGTGGATTTTTATATAATTTCTTTGTAAGGTAGATGATTGTTTGGTTTTTTTATTTCTAAATTTGACCAAAATATAATTTTTCTTACATGTAATTTGGATATTGTTAAATAAGAGCCTAGATAATTTTTTTATCTTTCCCTCTGTACATATTAGTTTACCAGGAGGGAACTGGAGAGGACGCCTGACCAAAATTAAAGACAGGTAAATGCAACCTTCTATTTATAAGTGAGGTCTTGATTAGTCTGTATTGATCTATTCCTTCAAAAATATAAAAAAATGGTTTTCCTTATATACAAAAGTATTTCAGTCCTTGAGAATATGAACCTTTGTTGTGACATATGATTTCACAAACTCCAGTTTCCAACTCGTACAATAATCAAGACCCAGTATGTACATTTGAAAAAGAATTAAGCTTAGCAGAGCCAAGACAGAAAAACACAGTAAAAAACAAGAGGTGCCATTTTACTGTGTGGCTTATTTGTAACCTGTTTAGGATTTAAAGACTTTCTTTTTTGTTGACTTTATGATACTGTTGTTTAACAAGATGTGTAGTAGAGCAGTGTGTAAAATCTTGTCTTTTTGAAAACTGATACTATTTGCACACTGCAGTTAATTTTTACAGATGAAAGATTTCTTCCTATCTCATTTTCAGTGTAGTCAAAATGGTTCTTAGATTTTCACAGGTATATTTGGGTGTGTGTTTCTATCACAATGCAGTTTTCTTAACTTCTGTAAATTGCTGTTTTAAATGTTATTCTCTTTGAAACCTTGTTTTATGCTTTTGTAGCAATTTGGCAGTTATAAATGTACTAATTATGAGAATGCCTCCAATGGATTATGGGAGTTTTAGGTGGTTTATAAAAATACTCTATGTTGCATACTGTGAAGTAAAAGCACATGTAGAGCCCACAGTTTTTGAAGCTCTTGAAAGAACAGGATAGCTCACTCTTTTAAGAGTTGTTTGCTATAAAATAAATTATTATTATGTAAGAATGTGTGTGGTACTCTACTCTGTTATAATAATTCATCATATTTTAGACAGCCTTTTCCAGCCTTTAAGAGTTTAAAAATTCTAAAGTCAATTGTCTTGACTGAGAGGTAAGTCTGTTTTCTGTTTTACTGTCTGTAAACAGTTGAAGACTTTGAGAGCTAAACTAACTTAAATCACCTCACATTTTATCATGGGTTAAGAACCTGTAAACAAAATGATGACAAGTGGTTCCATAGTAGTTATTTTGCTAGAACTGTAAGAACACTTTATTTTGAACTAAACCAGTTTGAGGTAGCCTACTTGCATAAGTATTTGAATAAAATTGAAATGATTTCAAGAAAATTAAAATAATATAATAGCTAGTGACTTTAACAGGTTTTGGTTGTATCACAGAAAGAGTACAACTGATTTTCTGATGATTGTACTGTGTTGGGCTTCTTTTAAAGAATTGTGCTCATATACAGACACTTGATACGTTAGTAATATTTAAGGAATTTCTTATTTAATAGAATTTTCCTTCTATTTTCTTGTTTCACTATTATTGCAGTGGACAATGCCCAGTTTGCAACCATCAGCTGGAGGACAGTAACCTCACTGAAGAGGAATACAGTCATCTCAGTGAGAGAATAATAAAGGACGTGATACATGGAGCTGACACTTTTAGAAAGACAAGTCCACAGGTAGGTCTTGTACACTCTCAGGTTCATTGGCTAGAAGGATAATATGCAAGTAATGTTGAGGCACTTTGAGAACACCAGAAATTTTTTCCTTTGCTTTACACATTGGTAGGTCATTAGATAGGCCATGATGTATCCTGTGTGTTTATATATCCTGTGTTTATCCTGTGAAGTATTCAGTTGTGTTTATAATTTGCATCTAAATCTCAGCATCTTTCATATTTTATTTGTTCTTACATTTTCAGGCAGCTGTTAGTGGATGCTGAGATAATTAAAATATGGGGGGTTTTTACATTAAAAATTAAAATGTTGCAAAATGGAAATGTTGATGTTCCGAAGACTAAATTTTAAATATGGAATAAAACACAGTGAATAGAACAAAATAATACATCTTGAGCTTGCAAAAAAGTAAAAGAACTGGTTATAGTTTGGTTCTGTCAACTTTTACAACCCACCAACCTGTCAACTACTCCTCAATTTTAAAGATATACTTTCATATTTATAATTACAGTATACAGTATCAAGCTTTTCAAAGGTCACGGTAAACATACAAGAGGGTGCAATTTCAGACGCTGCAGTATATTGCAGTTCTGTCAGTTCAGTGAAGCTTTTGACTCTGCCTCCCCAAGCATTCTCCTGGGGAAGCTAGTGGCCCATGGCTTGGGCAGGTGTGCTCTCCCCTGGCTGAAAACCTGTCTGGGTGCCCAGGCCCAGGAGTGGCTGTGCAAGGAGCTGCACCCAGCTGGCAGTCGGGCACCAGGGCGTTCCCCAGGGCTCAGTGTGGGACCAGTCCTGTCTGACACCTTTGCTCATGATCTGCGCAAGGGGATCAAATGCACCCTCAGCAAGGTCACAGACAGCACCAAGTTGTGTGGGAGTGTTTATGAGCTGGAAAGCACAAAGGTTCAGCTGATGGATCTGGGTAGACTGGATCAGTGGGTCAAGGCCAACTCAGCAAGGCAAAATGTCAGGTCGTGGACTTCTGTCACAGTAACCCCAGGCAGTGCTACAGGCTGGGGACAAAGTGGCTGGAAAACTGCCCAGTGGAAAAGGACCTGGGAGTGCTGCTTGACAGCAGCTGGACATGATCCTGTGTGTGCCCAGGTGGCCAAGAATGCCAGTGGCATCCTGGCCTGTATCAGAAATAGTGTGGCCAGCAGGAGCAGGGCAGTGACTGTCCCCCTGTGCTGGGCACTGGTGAGGCCATATCCCTAATCCTGCATGCAACTCTGGGTCCCTGACCATGAGAAGGACATTGAGGTGCTGGAGCATGTCCAGAGGAGGACAGTGGAACTGGTCAAGGGTCTGGAGAGTCAGTCATAGGAGGAGCAGCTGAGGGAGCTGGGGTTGTTCAGCCTGGAGAAAATGAGACTCAGGGGAGACCTTGCTGCTCTCTACAAGTGCCTGAAAGGAGCCTGCAGCCAGGGGGGTTGGTCTCTTCTCCCAGGCAGCCAGCAAAAGGGCAAGAGGACATAGCATCAAGCTGTGCCAGCAGAGGTTGAAGTTGGACATGAGGAAGAATTTCTTGACTGAAAGGGTGGTAAAACATGTAATGTGGGAAGGTGATGGAGTCACTGTCCCTGGAGGTGTTCAGGAAACCACTGGATGGGGCACTGAGTGCTGGCCTAGTTGACAAGGTGGTGATCAGTCACAGGTTGGACTTGATGATTGTGGAGGTTTTTTCCAACTCTAATGATTCCATGGTTCTATTTCTGACGTGTTTTGAGTGGAGATAACAGACTTGGTGGTAGAGATATGGACCAAAGCTGAGCCCCACTAGATGGAGCCCACACCACATCTCAGGGCAGCTTTGCTTTATCTTTGAGTATTGTTTGCTGCAGCTGGCACCTCAGTTCTTCACCAGCTTTGAAAGTATGGAAGAGGACACAAGGTTTATTCTTCAGGCTTTCTGCAGGCACAGACAGTGAGCATGTTCATCAGTTACAGAAACTTGAAAGTCTTGGGGTATTTGTAGTACATGCAGCCTATTGTGCAGACATCTGATTTCCACACAGATCTTATTATCAGGTCAGGACTTTTGATCTGATCTAGCTGCTAATTGTATAAGAGAATAAAATTCTCCTTAAAAATGTAGCTGTCATTTTAAGTATGTAATAGGTACTGGTGTTCTGTAATATCATTAAATAAACAAAAGGCTGTGTTTTATTGAACCCTGTATGGCTTGAAAATTTCAAATGTGTCAAGTAGACAGGGCTAGATTGGCAGTACCAGTTGAAGGTGGAGAAATTTAGGGAGTTCTGGGTAACAGGACCTTCACACACAATCTGAAGAGAAGTAGAAATTATGTTCCCCCTGTGGGAGAGCCTGATTGAATAAATGCATACAATCTAATGAAACAAAAACTCAATACACTACATTAAATTTTGATGTCAGTAGATTCTATTAGACTGTGTGATAGCTGAAATTCCATCATTTATCACTGTGGGGCCACCTACTTGTTAGTTTCAAGTTGATCTCATTCCAGTTCTGTATCAGCAGGTAGTCCCTGAGTGCAGATGCACTTGGTGTTTACTGTTGTTTGTACAGCTTAAGGTCTGCTTCCTCAGTGAATTTCGGACATGGATGTGGGGGTAGTGGCAAAACAGTGTCATGATCTATCATGGTGTTTCCAGAAATAAAATTGGGACTTTTTAGTTGCCTTTGTGCTGTGGAAGTAGACATGTGGTGATGAAAATATGCTGCCCATTTTAGGTATGTCAGACTGTGGGACTTCTTCTGCAGCCAGGGGCTTCCAGAGGGGAACTGGGTGATGAGGCTTAAATAAGGATGTGAGTAAATACATCTGAGAAGGTGGGGGGGATTTTCCAGTCACTTTTTTTATAGTGGCTGTAATTCAAATAGGAAACTTTAGCTTTGTATTCCTTCTTTTCTCCTAACTAGTTTTCTTTAGTGGATCTGTATTTCCTGCAATGAAATGATTAATCAGGGAAACAGTTTGAGTTGCTTTGGGCTTTAAATATTTTTTCCAACAGTGTTTCAAATTGAATATATAAATGCTTTTGGAATCTGTTTTTTTCTTCACTGAGGAATATTTATTTGTCTTACTTTTGCAACAGCATCGTTGCTTTATTTTGTTTCTGTCGCTTAAGAATAAATGTGATCAGAGTAGAAAATGAGCAAAGATTGGTTTGTTGAGGATCCCCCAAAAGTAATTTGTTGTGCAGAGATTAAAAACAAATAAGTCTTTTTTTGTAATTAGTTTTAGGAAAAAAAAATCAAACATAGATTTGTACATCAGAATGGTAGTGAACATTATTTACAAATGTGTTGAAAAGATGGCTTGAATGAACTATAAAACTGATTATCTGTGATAAGGAAATATTACACATTAAAAACAGGCATCAATTCAGATCCTTATGGATAGCTTCTGGAAGGTCTATTAGGATATCATATGATGATCTAATGCAGTGAGCTGTAACCTTGCAGGCTGCCATAGAAAGAAGACAGCTACAATAAGACTGTCACCTTTCGTACCAAATTTCTGTGTGGTATTTTCTGTCAGATGCTTGTTTACCCTGGCTGCATTTAATTGGGAGCTGTGCCATTGAGCCTGAGAGGATATAATTGGTGTGCTGAGAGGCAGAATCAACTTTTGCTGTGATGACTTTTCATGTTGCAGCTGCTCCTGGGTGTTTGTGCAAATGCTGTAATTTCATTCCCTTTGTGGCTCCCACTTACCTCTGATGAGCCTGAAAGGGCTGTTGTGCAGTGGGAGGGAAGCTCATGGGAGGTGTGTATGTGCTGTCAAGAAGGCAGGAAGAGATGGGTTTGTGCTCATGTGAATTCCCACACTAGGTCTGGGCTAAGCAGGGATTTTACATGTTCTTCTAGCACACAGGGGACAACAAAGAGGAAGTAGCCCATTCATCTCAGTGTTCTTTTGCAGCTGAATGAGGCACTGCTATTTGGAAGGAACCTTGAACATTGGGCTCTAACTCTTACCTTTTACATTGATACTTTTTTTTCTGTAGAGCTCTGATTCTCCTTCCAACTCCATGATTTGCCCCAAAGGCCTATGTGACCCAAGGGGGGCTTTGGGTATGTGTCAGTCCTGTTCTGTCAGCCCAGGATAAGTGTGCCATTTCCCTCCTCTACCTCTGTTCCCATGGGTGTTGGCTGAGTCCTGCCAGCACTGCCCTCTGTGGGCACAGGCTGTGAACGGGCAGCACTGCACATGCACATCACAGTGAGTGCCTGTGAGCACCTTTATGTTCCTCACAGTCACAGTGAGCCCCTGCAAGCACCTTTATGTTCCTCACAGTCACAGTGAGCGCCTGGGAGCACCTTCCTGTTCCTCACAGTCACAGTGAGCCCCTGCAAGCACCTTCCTGTTCCTCACAGTGCCTCCCAAGGCTGCAGCCACAGCTGTTCCTGACTTGGGGGTTATTTGTAAACTCAGAGGCCAAACAAATTGTGTGCAATCCAGAGTACACAGAGATACCAGACACAATACTGAGAAAGGGTGTCCTGTTTAGAAGGGTTTCAAGGGGATTTCCAGGCTTTGAAACTGCAGGGCAAATACTCAAACCCATCGGGCATAGCAACAAATAGATTTAAGAGTGCTCCACCAAGGTGCCTTTAAAAAAAGAACTGGCTGGATTTCAGCTGGACAGCTGAATTTTATTTCTCACACTTAATATTCATTCCTGTGTTTTTCTTCTGATACCAAGAAGCATTGCTGAAAACAGAGCAATCCCCATAACATTGTATTTTATGAATCTGTTAAAAATGGAATGTTTTCACTTCTCTAAAATACACCCTGTTTGATAATAGGGGTAGTTACATTATAATTAAGTGCAGTATAATATTCTGTTAATCAGAATTTGCTGTTTCCCTGCACTTGAGGATGTTGTCATTAAACAAGAGAGGAAGCACTGCTTTTTCTGCTGTACAAGCTTAAAGTATTGTAACTTCTTCTGGAAAAAATACACGTTGAACATTGTAGTTTTACTTTTTTAAATTTAACTAGTGTCTCTCCATCA